GGGGCTCCAGGCCTTCGCTTGGGAAACGGCTCCGCGTGCACACGGCTGGCGAGGCCTGCGGGCGCGGAGGGGGGCTGCCGGGCGGCCGGAGCCGGGAAGGTTGGGCCCGCTGCTCCGTGGAGTCCCCCCGCCCGCCAGAGGGGCTCTTCCCTGACCACCCCCTCCCGGAGTGAGTTCCAGTCTCTCCCGCATTGGTCAACAAATAATCCTCGGTATTTCCCAAACTGAGGAAGGAGCCTGGACGAAGCGCAAGGGCAGAGAGAGGAGGGGACAGGGCCGAACCCTTTGTGTTTTTTTACTTTAAAAATTATATATTTAATGTCACAATCGCTTTTCGTTAAGACCACAAACATCCAATTTGGCTTGGCGTAATAAAATCAGCTGGAGCTCCCTTAAACGGAGCCATTCCCGTGAATTAAGTTGTGAAATCTAATCTATTATATCCATAAAGGAGAATGCTTTCATTGTAAATTCAGGTTATAAAGAAACTATACCTGGGCCGCCAGCCTCCCTTTCCGATCTGCTACTTGAAGCCTTATCAAATTACTTCAAAATGTTGGGCTACCCTCTCGTATCTCATGGCAACAGAAATTAAATGTGGCAACATTTCTTTTAACAGTAAGGAAAGGTCAGAAACAACCGCCACCACAAGGAGGTATAATTAAAAAAGACCCCCCCCACCTCTCCCTGCGTTGGGAAGCGAGTTTACTATTTTCCCAATTAATTCGAATTTATAAAACAATCTAAACGGGCCAAGCCTTCCTTCATCTTCTCTCCCGCTCCAGCTGGTGTTGGGCGAAGCTACTGGGTGGACCGAACGGGCCTCAAGAAGGGTGCAGAGACCTCGGGGCTCCGCCGGAATCTGCACTGGAGGTCCTCACCGGCAGCCTGCGCACCTGAGCAGGAGAAGGAGTCCTCGCAAGTCAGGCTGGCTCTCGGCTCTGTTGCCTGGCCCGAAGGCCAGGACACCACTTGTCTCAGCAGTGGCCAGGCCAGACAAAGGAGTCGCCAGCGAGGGGTTAACCCCCCCTTCCCACATACGCCCTTCTCCATCCTCCCCACCACACCCTCATAAGGCAGCCTGGAATGGGGAAAGCACCAGTGCACGAGTATTTATTTAGCAAACCCCATTGCAAACAGGGTAGGGGTATTTGCTGCCCTTCCTCGGACAGGGGTCTTGGGCCCCCGTCACTCGCTGTCCAGACCACCCCTTTACCCTAGGACATCTCCATCCATTTCTGAGAACTAACTGACCCCAGGGTTGGGCCGGGAGCCTCGGCGCTGGCCAGAAGTCGAGGCCCAGAGCATTCTGTTCCTCGTTCCCGAAGAGGAGTGCTAGGGGGCGGCAAGGAGGCGATCGGTGAGTCTCCAAATTCCCAGGTAAGGGCAGGACACAGCAATTGTCAGGCCCGCCAAGATTTACGAGGCGCCGGTGGAGTGTCGGCCAGGCCTCGCAGCGCACCCCATCTAACCTTTGATTTCCGTCTAATTATCTTTTTCCTGCCACTTTCAACTCAGTGTCCGGAGAAGTGAACAAAGGGAAGAGGACGGGGATGGGGCCGCCAACCAGTGGCAAGGGGTTGGTCCAGGGTCTACCCCCAGGATAGTGGGGGTCCCTCAACACCCCAGGCTCAAGCCCTGCGTGGGCCCCCAGGAAGGCGAAGGATGAAGGGTGACCAGGCTGGGGCTAGGACCACGGCGGGACTCGCTCTCCAGCTCGGCTGGGCCAGGATGGGCGCTGAGACACCCAAAAGGAGTTCCGGGCCCCGAGCCGTTGGCATCGCACCTCGGGTGTCACAGGAGAGAAGAATCCTTGTTAACGCCCTTGGGCCACGGAAGGAAGCAAAAACACTTTCCCCTAAACTGCAATTTAGGGCAGCAGGGAGGCAGAGGGAAGCTGGGCTTTTCTCCTCGCACGGAAAAAGGCGCGCCCAAACGGGTAGAAAGAGCGAGGTTTGCATTTTTCATGTTAAAAAAAAATTCCAAAATGGAAAATGATTTTAGTGGTCACCACCCATAAGTCAACTAAAAACAGGGGTAATTAGAGTGTGGGGAATTCGGGGGACCATAAATCTTCGGTGCCTTTTCCACTGGAATCGGGAGCCTTTTATGGCTTACTGAGTTTTATTTCGACAGAAGTGAGGTCCGGGGCTTTGGTGGATGCGGGTCGGTGTCGGAAGCGCCAGCCACTCTGGGGAGAGCGGGGACGCGCACAGCGAGGACACCGGGGGCCTCTCGTCTTGTCCCGGGAAGGTGGAAACCGAAACTACGAGCTTCACCCCGAGGAGAGGCCTTTCCCGCCCTCGGGGCCCCGCACTCCCCAGCCGGGTTAACAGGGCTCGGGACGAGCTGGGGAAGCTCTCAAGGGCTGGGCACTGGTACAGATCCCAGCTCGGCAGTGGACTCCTTTTCTTCCCAGCCCAAACTCCAGTGAGAATACTCCGTTGTGGGCGGGAGGTGAGGCAGTTTTACAGACAGCTCCATCTGAGCCCCTAGCCCATTCTATCCCTTTCACTTTGTCCCTTTGTTCTAACTTGGGGGGTGGGGAGAAAAGGTCACAAATCACCCCCTCCTCTTTAACCATCAAATCCCTAATTTTGAGTCTTCCCCAAACGGCAGGGAACACATTTCACTCCATGGGGGATTTTTCCCCACCGGGTGGAGACCAGATTACCAAGTTCCTACCTATCTAGGTCTCTTCCTTTCCTGAAAGTCTCCTAATAAAAACATCCAAATCCAAACATCACCTAAAGCCCCATTAACCAGGTAAGAAAATGAGGAGAAAAAGATCGCGTATTTTCTCTTTAAAAGCGCACCCTTTCCTTCAACTCTCTCCAGCCTTCCCCTCTGTTGTAAAGACTGTCCCACCCTAACAACGGGGGCGAGGGGAACTACAGGTTCACATTCAGAAACCATTCTCGGAGGACTTCTTTTGTTTGAAGTGGGCATGGGGGAGGGGAAGGAGCCCGCCCCAGGCCGGCTGCCTGGCCTCCCCAATCCACCCCCAAAAAACAAAGCCCATGGGCCTCCCCTAAACGGCAGGTCCGGGGCTCGGGGAACCAACTACAGGACAAGGGGAGCTGCCCGCCCAGCGTGAGACCAAGGTCAGGTCTCCCCATCGCGAGTTTCCTCCGAACCTCCCTCAGAACTGACCGTTCCCGCTGCAAAATCCCCAGGTGGTTCCAGGGGGGAAAGGGCGGGAAAGACTGCCCAGAACAAAGCCCCATCGCCCCAGCTCTGAGGCCGAGGAAGGGCACATGGTCTCCTCGGCGAACTAAATGGAACCTGGAGAAAGGGGACAAACTTTTCCAAAGGGGTAAAAGGGGTGCGTTCCGAGCCCCGAGGTGGAGTAAAGGACGGTCCTCTGGCCGAGGCTGCAGACACAGCCTGGGGAAGCGTCCGCTCCGCGTTCAGCGGCCCTCCCTGAGCCCCGCGGGAAGACACGCTTGCAGCGAAAGGCTCTTACATACCAGCCGGGTTTTTATTAGTTCCCTATCCGGAATGCGCTCTGGGCGCGCGGGAAAAAAGGAAAACGCACGTACCTGGCGGAGCTCCGAGGGC